TTTCCCCCATGAGCTCTGGGATTTGTTGGCCCAGGACGCCATCTGTTGGGGATCTCTGGGAAAACGTTGGATACTCTGTTGCCGGGATGAAAAGGGCCGGTCTCTGACGGGCGGGGCTGCGGTGAAGCTCAGCAAGACGGCCATGGAACGTCTTGCCACCGGCTCATTTCATGTGGAGGATGTGAGAGGGAGCCGCTGTCAAGTCATCCGAGCTGACAGACTGGCTAAAAATAGACACTTTCAGCTTAAATGATGTTTACTCCAAACTCGTGTCACCTCCACACACATCCTCCGCCAAAACCGTCATTTGCTCTGCCATTTGTTGTCCTAGAGCGCCATCTGTTGGCGGTCTTAGGGAAACGCTGAAAACTCCGTCCTCCGGCTGTGATGCGGGCCGGCAGACAGCAAAGAGGTGCACCGGTTGGGGATGACGTCAGCTGCCCTGCAGATGGAGCATATGTCTCTTCCCGCCTCTGAACGTGTACTCCAACAACGTAACATGTTGTTCGCTGCGGCTGTCTGGAACACATGCTGGTGAGCTCAGTTGGAGAGCAGTATCATCGTCTGGGTTCCGCTAACTGGAGGCGCGGGACGCTGGTCCACCTGGACATCTTGCTCCGATGAAGCCTCCGTCAGGCTTGGCTCCAGGGGGCGCTGAGGGAATTTCTGCTCGGTGAAACCCCTGCTCTGGAGATGGGCGCGGACTATAGAGACCTGCCCCACAATCTACCAGGAAAGCCGGCTGTGGCCTCGTCCCCGTAGGATGTCCTGTTGGGAAACCGAGGCCAGATGGGATCAGGACGGCGAGCCTGATTGGAGCCTAGAAAAAAAACTTCCCGCCGGATCATCCGAACTGGCGGGAAAGGCGCGGGACGTAAAAAAGGGTCCCTTAATGTCAGCAGCCTCCTGGGTTACGCCGGGCAACCCCAGAGGGCGCCGTCGGCCGGAAGCGGTGTGATTGCTGATGTGAAACGAGGTGGGATGAGGTGAGCATTCGCTCAGCCCCCTTCCACCGACACTACGCTCTCTAGGAGGGAACGAGCAGCGGGGCTGCAGCTGAACGCCGCTTGTCCCGGAAGAACCATCCGATTCGCTCCGAGGGTCGGCGATAAGAGGAAAATTACAAGATGGCGTTGTTCAGCGTGTAGCGACCTGTCACTGAGAAATACTCCTCGGCGGGGAGAAGAGCTCACCAGGACGACCGGAGGTCGACGTGACGGGCCAAGCATTCTTAACAAATGTTGGTCATCTACACAACTTTCCTTCTTCGTTCTTCTGACAGTGCTATTAGCTCGCTGAAGAAAAATGGGAGCTGATTACCCGCTCTTAACGTAATTTATACGGACCGGGTGGGGCCCACACAGCAGGAGGGCGTGAACTACATTTTTCAGTGCAATGCTTCGCATATCGGGATAAAACCCATCAGCGACAGCCTTAAAGGGCGAAGCCTATATGAAATAGAACAAATTTAAGCTACTAATAAAATAGTTATTGCAGTGGATGTTTTCATGTTGCACAGCCACACAGGACAAGAACTCACAGTGAAATTCAGTATGAGAGTAAATTTTACTTTATCCAACCTATTAAACTACTTCTTTCGGTTTTTCCCTTTTCAGGGGTCACCACAGCGAATACTCCATCTCACTCTGTCCTCTGCATCCTCTGTCCTCACTCCATCTACCACCATGTCCTCTCTAACTGCTTCTATATATCTCCTCTTTAGTCTTCCTCTGTCTTTTTCCTGGCAGCTGCATTTCTCGTTCTTCCTTCTCCTTCATCCTTCTGCCAATATACCCACTGTCCCTCCTCTGGACATGTCCAAACCACTGTCCTTCCTTTGGACATGTCCAAACCATCTCAGTGTGTCCTCTCTAACTTTATCTCCCAGTTGTTCAACCTGTGCTGTACCTCTGATGATCTCATTCCTAATCTCATCCATCCTTGTCACTCCTAATAACGTCAACATTTTTATTTCCACCACTTCCAGTTCTGTCTCCTGTCTTTTTGTCAGTGCCACTGTCTCCAGACCATACAACATAGCTGGTCTCACCACTGTTTGTAAACTTTTTCTTTGACTATCCAGATATACACCGAGCACTACTGTTTGCTATTACAGCATGATAAATATGGCTACAAGTCGTGAGATTAGATTACTTACCGCCTTTGTTTGATGTCATATGACCGTAAACTTCTGTGATAAATCCACAACGCCAAGTATTATTCCTTGGTCTGCTATGAAATATGCAGTAACAAAACTTGGAAAAGCGCAAGAAGTCATGGTTGCTTGTAGCTGCGTAGCGTCTTTGAACTTAGTTTGCATGTCAGCGCTGAAACTCCAGAAGATGCTAATTGGCTAGATGCACATCACATGACAAATCACGTGACACAGGTCTGTTTTGACCAGAGAGGGAGTTTCAGTCCCCCACTTTGCACGCATCAGGCAGTTGCACTGTACAGCTCGGGCTGATAGTTTATTATAAAATGGGAGATAACCTTGTGGACAGTTCGCAACTGCGCAGCATAGGTTTTCTTGTGTGCAGAGAATGTGCAAGCAGTGCGTGATTGCGCAGGTGCATAGCTTAGAAGGAACATTGGTTCAACCCGTAATATTGTGTACAGTTGAAACCAGAAGTTTACATACACTAAAAAGACACATGCATTTTTTTTCACTGTCTGACGTGAAATCAGAATAAACGTTTCTGTTTTAGGTCAATTAGGTTTACTTTTTTTTTTTTTCTATTTACAAAATGCCAGAATAATGAGAGTGAAGAAAGTAATAAAAATTGACTTTAAAAATTCTCTCAGTCAAAAGTTTAAATACGCTTCATTAGTATTTGGTATCATTGCCCTTAAACTGCATGACTTGGGTCAAATGTTTTGGATATCCTTCCACAAGCTTCTCACAATAGTTGGCAGGAATTTTGGCCCATTCTTCCAGACAGAACTGGTGTAACTGAGCCATGTTTGTAAGCTGCCTTGCTCGCACGTGCTTTTTCAGCTTTGCCCATAAATTTTCGATAGGGATTGAGATCAGGGCTTTGTGATGACCATTCCAAAACATTGACTTTTTTTATCCCAGAGCCACTTTGTAACCAGTTTGGCAGTATGCTTCGAGTCCTTGTTCATTTGGAAGACCCATTTGCGCCCAAGCTTTAACATCCTGGCTTATGTCTTGAGATGTTGCTTCAGTATTTCCACATAATGTTTTTTTTATATATATAATAATAGTAATAATCTTGCCCAGCTTTTTCCGTGTTGCTACTCTGAATGAATGAGGCTTCTTCTCCTATCGATTCACTTTTGCCACATCCAATATGGCGGTGATGTCAACTTATGATTCAACATTTAATGAGTTGTCTATGTATATACACTACCTTGCCAAAAGTATTTTTTCACCTGGCTTGATTCACATATGAGCTTAAGTGACATCCCATTCCTAATCCATAGGATTCAATATGACGTTGGTCCACCCTTTGCAGCTAGAACAGCTTCAACTCTTCTGGGAAGGCTGTCCACAACATTTAGGAGTGTGTATATTGGGATTTTTGACCATTCTTCCAGAAGTGCATTTGTGAGGTCACAGACAGGGTTGAGGTCAGTACTCTGTGCAGGCCAGTCAAGTTCATCCACACCAGACTCTGCCATCCATGTCTTTATGGACCTTGCTTTGTACACTGGTGCACAGTCATGTTGGAAGAGGAAGGGGCCAGCTCCGAACTGTTCCCACAAAGTTGGGAGCATGGAATTGTCCAAAATGTCTTGGTATGCTGAAGCAGTCAGAGTTCATTTCACTGGAACTAAGGTGCCAAGCCCAGCTCCTGAAAAACAACCCCACACCTTAATCCCCCCTCCACCAAACTTTACACTTGTCACAATGCAGTCAGACAAGTACCGTTCTCCTGGCAACCGCCAAACCCAGACTCGTCCATCAAATTGCCAGATGGAGAAGCGTGATTCGTCACTCCAGAGAACGTGCCTCCACTGCTCTAGAGTCCAGGGACAGCGTGCTTTACACCACTGCATCCGACGCTTTGCATTGCACTTGGTGATTTATGGCTTGGATACAGCTGCTCGACCATGGAAACCCATTCCATGAAGCTCTCTGCGCACTGTTGTTGAGCTAATCTGAAGGCCACATGAAGTTTGGAGGTCTGTAGTGATTGACTCTGCAGAAAGTTGGCGACCTCTTCGCACTATGCGCTTCAGCATCCGCTGACCCCGTCAGTTTACGTGGCCTACCACTTCATGGTCAAGTTGCTGTCGTTCCCAAACACTTCCATTTTCTTATAATACAGCTGACAGTTGACTGTGGAATATTTAGGAGTGACGAAATTTCACGACTGGATTTGTTGCATAGGTGCATCCTATCAGTTCCACGCTGGAATTCACTGAGCTCCCGAGAGCGACCCATTCTTTCACAAATGTTTGGAAAAACAGTCTTGCATGCCTAGCTGCTTCATTTTATACACGTGGCCATGGAAGTGATCGGAACACCTGATTCCGATAATTTGTATGGGTGAGCAAATACTTTTGGCAATGTAGTGTATGTCTGTGGCTACAACTTTGTCAATTTTACAGGTATTTACCTAAAATTGGGGTGGTTGTAGCTGAGTCATTCACAAATAAGAAAAAAATATGAAAAACTACATTATTCATTTTATGTAAATAAAGCATTAAGAAATTAAGTGTTAAATTTCATATGCACTGAATTTTATAGTACTTCTCTGAAGGTGTTGAAGACCCCTGAGGTTCCTCCCAGCAAAAAAGACATATTATTGTGTGAAATTGTATTATTTCCAAAGTTTGACCATAATTTCTAAAACTTAAAAAGAAATTATCTTACTTTAAAAGTGGCATCAGAGGAGGTGAGCAACATGCTTTCCTTTGAGAGGTTTTCCTTGTTGAAGCTCTCAGTTAGCTCCAGTCGTCTCGAGAAAGCTTTTTTTGTTGCAAATTTTGAATTTTAAATTGTGTATTTTAAAGTCTTTAACTTCCCACAGAATTTCAGCAACAACTTCCAAATGGCTAAAGAGGCTCTGAGCACGGCAACAGCTCAGGCAGCAGAGAAGGCAGCGTCCAGCGTTCGAGGCTACGCCCAGAAGAGTTTCCGTCTGTCCTTGGATGTCAGGCTGAAGGCTCCACTCATCATCATCCCTCAGTCCTCCACCTCCCATGATGCGCTTGTGATAGACCTGGGTCTGATCACGGTGGGAAATGGCTTCTCTGTGCTGCCCATTGCAGGATGTCCTCTTCCAGCTGTTGTGGACAGTATGGACATGCAGCTGACAGAGCTGAAGCTGTCCAGGTCTGCCAAACCAGCCTTGATGTTCTGATCCAAACTCATTAAATAAACATTTATAATTTAACATGATGAAAAATTAAACACTTATTTTTCTTTGTACCAATCTTTGTTAACTGCTGGCCTCAGATTTGAATTTGTGTTTCCTGTTGTTTAAAAGGACCTGTTTAGACCCAGCCTTGAGCCTACCCAGCATTGAGCTGCTGGAACCAGTCAACCTGAACCTCAACATCAAGAGAAACCTGTCAGCTGGCTGGTACAAGGACATGGCTGCTGTGGAGATCAATGGAGACCTGAAGCCCATGAAGGTAGGGAAAACAGGAGGAGCAGTTATTAACATGGCTTTCTCTTTATAGAGGCCATACTAAACTAACTGTAGATATCCTGATGCTTGCTCAATAATCCAGGTAGAAAAATCTAAAAATGTTAATCAGGACCAGACTTAACTGTCAATATTTTTCATTAGGAGACCTTCCTTATGAAATAAAAGAAAAGGGAGATTCAAGAAAATAAAGCTGACAAATAAACATTCTCTGAGTCATGAGTGAGTTTTTGCCACAGATAAATGAATTTGAAAGTCTGGGGAATTTTTTTTCTAACACTGATGGTAGCATGAAGCATTAAATAGAATGATGGACCAGGTTCTCGTCAGCAGTTATAAGGGTGTTGCACCAGTTAGTCGTGGTGAAGAAAGTGTTGAGCTTAAAGACAAAGCTCTCGATTTACTGGTCCGTCTACCTTCCAACCCTTATCTATTAGGTTTGGATCATGACTAAAAAAAACAGATCCTGGGTCCAAGCAACTGAAATGAGTCCCTGAGGGAGGGAAAGCATTACTTACTTACATACATATTACGTACCTACCAACCAACCAACCACCCACCCAACAAACCGACCAACTAACCCACCAAACGACAAACAAACCAACTAACCAAGGAACACCTTCAGGTCCGTGAAGAACTGGAGCGTATGTGTGGGATGATGGAGGTTCAAGTCTCCTTCTGGACCTGTTACACCTCCATGAGCCAATGACAAATAAATGCATAGATCTACCGATGCTTGAATGTTGGATGGATATTTAAGTTTTCAGATCCAGTTGAACCTTGCTAGATCACCATGGTAACATGAAGAGCTTTAATCTGGGTTGCAGCAGGTTGTGTTCAATTTTTGTTCAAGCTGTGAAAAAGACGAGCCATCTGTTCATTTGTGTCTTTTATTTCTTGACACGGATCGAGAGAGAACAAACTGAACCAACATGTTTAAAACAAAGTGCACTTTTTTATTATAAGATTTTACCAATACAGACATTAAAAGGATGTCTGATATTGTCATGACATGACTGGAAACGTCCTGTTCCATTTCATCTTCTTGGCTAACGGTTCTGCTCTTATTTTCTTTGAACCAGGGGACTTGCCAACCCCCCAAGGTACACTTTTCTGTCTAGCTGCGCTCTAGTATTAGTGTGTTGGTCACTGGATCTGGTTAGTCAGTAGTGATCTGGACGTTCTGTAATCCCTCCTTCTAGGATCACAGTCTTTGTGTTCTGTTAGACATTTGTATTATCCTGAATGTGTGGGACAAAACAGGGTTCTGATTCTGGTTCTGGTCTCTGCTGCCACATGTAATTCTTGCTGTCTTTGTTCAGCTGGAGCTCAGTCAGGATGACCTAGGAGTTCTGCTCAGAATCTTGACGGAGAACCTTAAAGAAGCTGGTGCTCCAGATCCCAGTGCCCCCAGACAAGAGGCCAGCCTGCAGCCTCCATCCACCAGAAGCCTCCCAGAAGGTCCGATACCAACTTGATTGTTGTGTCTGTGCACTCATGTGCACATTTCGTTCTGTAATGCCACCTGGGTTCTACCTGTTCAGGTGAGTCTGAGAAGCCAGCGGAGAGCAGGAGTGAATCTGTGGAGACGGTCAAGTTTAACTTCAACATTGAGTCTTTGGGTCTGGTTCTGTACCACAACAACCCTAAACAGGTCAGTCAGAACTTACAGGGACTTGTACTGATGGTTCTGGTCCGCTTGATCTTATAGTTCCTGTTCTCAGCAGCCGACAGACCTTCAACACCAGCAGAACCTCAGACTCGGGGAGTTTGCCCTCCGCCTGCTGAAAACGTCAGGGAAGATCCTGAATAACGGTGGCATGGAGGTGAGCATGGTCCTGATGACGTGCACGCTGGATGACCTGCGGACCGGCATGGACCGGGTCACTTCACGGTAACAGTCACGACTCTCTGAGCTCTGATCTAAACACAGATGAAGAGTTAAACAAGCAGCACAAACACAAAACCAAATGTTATTGGGATTCAACATTTGCTAAGTCTACACATCATTAGTTCCAGAACAAAGAATGAGTTTGACAGAATATAATTTAATATATTTGATATAATGTAATAGATTTGATATAATATAATATAATAGATTTAATATAATATAATATAATATAATATAATAGATTTAATATAATATAATATAATATAATAGATTTAATATAATATAATATAATATAATAGATTTGATATAATATAATATAATAGATTTAATATAATGTAATAGATTTAATATAATGTAAGATAATAGATTTAATATAATAGATTTGATATAATATAATAGATTTAATATAATTTAATAGATTTGATATAATATAATATAATAGATTTGATATAATATAATAGATTTGATATAATATAATAGATTTGATATAATATATTATAACAGATTTGATATAATATAATAGATTTAATGTAATATAATATATTTAATATAATATAATAGATTTGATATACAAACCGGATTCCAAAAAAGTTGGAACACTAAACAAATTGTAAATAAAAACTGAATGCAATGATGTGGAGATGGCAAATGTCAATATTTCATTCATAATATAACATAGATGACAGATCAAAAGTTTAATCTGAGTAAATGTAACATTTTTAAGGAAAAATATGTTGATTCAAAACTTCACAGTGTCAACAAATCCCAAAAAAGTTGGGACTATTAGAAATAAGTGGCTGGCAAAAGGAAATTGAGCATATAACGAACCACTGGAAGACCAATTAACACTAATTAGGTCAATTGACAACATGATTGGGTATAAAAAGAGCTTCTCAGAGTGTCAGAGTCTCTCAGAAGCCAAGATGGTAAGAGGATCACCAATTCCACCATTGTTGCGCAGAAAGAGAGTGCAGCAATACCAGAATGGTGTTACCCAGCGTAAAATAGCAAAGACTTTTAAGTTATCATCATCAACCGTGCATAACATCATCAAAAGATTCAGAGAATCTGGAACAATCGCTGTGCGAAAGGGTCAAGGCCGTAAAACTCTATTGGATGCTCGTGATCTCCGGGCCCTTAAACGTCACTGCACCTCAAACAGGAATGCCACTGTCAAGGAAATAACAGAATGGGCTCGGGAATACTTCCAGAAAGCATTGTCGGTGAACACAATCCACCGTGCCATCTGCCGTTGCCAGCTGAAACTCTACAGTGCAAAGAGGAAGCCATTTCTAAGCAAGTTCCACAAGCTCAGACGTTTGAACTGGGCCAGGGGTCATTTAAAATGGAGTGTGGCAAAATGGAAGACTGTTCTGTGGTCAGATGAGTCACGATTTGAAGTTCTTTATGGAACACTGGGACACCATGTCATCCGGACCAGAAAGGACAAGGATAGCCCAAGTTGTTATCAACGCTCCGTTCAGAAGCCTGCATCACTGATGGTATGGGGTTGCATGAGCGCTTGTGGCAAGGGCAGCTTGCATGTCTGGAAAGGCACCATTAATGCCGAAAACTATGTTCAGGTTCTAGAACAACATATGCTCCCATCTAGACGTCATCTCTTTCAGGGAAGACCCTGCATTTTTCAACACGATAATGCCAGACCACATTCTGCAGCAATCACAACATCATGGCTACATAGAAGGATCCGGGTACTGAAATGGCCAGCCTGCAGTCCAGATCTTTCACCTATTGAGAACATTTGGCGCATCATAAAGTGGAAGGTGCGACAAAGAAGGCCCAAGACGATTGAACAGTTAGAGGCCTGTATTAGTCATGAATGGGAGAGCATTCCTATTTCTAAACTTGAGAAATTGGTCTCCTCTGTCCCCAGATGTCTTTTGAGTGTTGTAAGAAGAAGGGGGGATGCCACACAGTGGTAAAAATGGACTTGTCCCAACTTTTTTGGGATTTGTTGATGCCATGAAATTTGGAAACAACAGATTTTCCCCTTAAAATGATACATTCTCTCAGTTTAAACTTTTGATCTGTGATTTGTGTTCTATTCTGAATAAAATATTAGATGTTGGCACCTCCACATCATTGCATTCAGGTTTTATTCACAATTTGTTTAGTGTCCCAACTTGTTTGGAATCCGGCTTGTATTTAACCTTTATTTAACCAGATAAAAAAAAAACATTGAGATCAAGACCTCTTTCACAAGGGTGACCTGGCTAAGAACAGGCAGCATTGCACGTCATAACAACAAACAAGTAACAAGATACAGAATAGGATTTCAGAAATGTATAAAAACAATCAATATAACAGTAAAGGGCAATAGTTGTAATAATAATAATTTAAAACAATGACAATTTAAGATCTAAAACGCAGGCACTGTTCACAAGATGTCCTTTCCTTTGTCGTTCTTTTAAAAGTTTTCAAAAAACACTTAAAGTAAGAAGTTCTGTCAGTTTTAATTCAGCTTCCAAGGCATTCCAAGCTGAGGAGGCACAAAAGCTTAAAGCTTTCTAGCCTGTTTCTGTTTGCAAACGAAAAACATAAAGATACAAAAAGTCCTTAGAGCGTAAGGCATAACAACTGTCCATTCTTCGACTGAAAGTACATAAATAATGCAGAAGCCGGCCAATAAGAGACTTGTAGACCAAAGTCATCCAATGTACGTCGCCTGTTAAACAGGGAAGACATATTGGCTTTAAGATAGAGATCAATGTGATGAGTAAGGTAGCTACAACCAGTAATAAATCTTAATGCACAGTGGTACACTGGATTCAATTACTGTAGACAACTCTTTGAAGCACACATATCCATCCATCCATCCATTTTCTTCCGCTTATCCGGGGTCGGGTCACGGGGGTAGCAGCCTAAGTAGGGAGGCCCAGACTTCCCTCTCCCCAGCCACTTGGGCTAGCTCTTCCGTGGGAATCCCGAGGCGTTCCCAGGCCAGCCAAGAAACATAGTCCCTCCAGCGTGTCCTGAGTCTTCCTCTTGGCCTCCTTCCAGTGGGACGTGTCCGGAACACCTCACCAGGGAGGCGTCCAGAAGGCATCCTAAACAGATGCCCAAGCCACCTCAACTTGCTCCTCTCGACGTGGAGAAGCAGCGGCTCTACTCTGAGTCCCTCCCGGATGATCGAGCTTCTCACCCTGTCTCTAAGGGAGAGCCCAGACACCCTGCGGAGAAAACTCATTTCGGCCGCTTGTATCCGAGATCTCATTCTTTCGGTCACAACCCAAAGCTCGTGACCATAGATGAGGGTAGGAACGTAGATCGATCGGTAAATTGAGAGCTTCGCCTTTTGACTCAGCTCTCTCTTCACCACGACAGACCTGTACAGCGCCTGCTTCACTGCAGACGCTGTACCTATCCGCCTATCGATCTCACGCTCCATTTTTCCCTCATTTGTGAACAAGACCCCAAGATACTTGAACTCCTCCACTTGGGGTAGGACCTCCTCCCTGACCCGGAGAGGGCACTCTACCCTTTTCCGGCTCAAGACCATGGCCTCAGATTTGGAGGAACTGATCTTCATCCCGGCCGCGTCGCATTCGGCTGCGAACCGCTCCAGCGAAAGCTGTAGATCACGATCTGATGAAGCCAATAAGACCACGTCATCTACAAAAAGCAGAGACGCAATCCTAAGGCCACCAAAACGGATCCCCTGAACACCTTGGCTGAGCCTAGAAATTCCGTCCATAAAAGTTATGAACAGAATCGGTGACAAAGGGCAACCTTGGCGGAGTCCAACTCTCACCGGGAACGAGCCCGACTTACTGCCGGTGATACGGACCAGGCTCTGACACCGGTCATACAGGGACCTAACAGCCCGTATCAAAGGTCCCGGTACCCTATACTCCCAGAGTACCCCCCACAGGGTCCCCCGAGGGACGCGGTCGAACGCCTTCTCTAAGTCCACAAAGCACATGTAGGGTTAGGGTTAACTCCCACGCACCCTCCAGGACCCTGCTGAGAGTGTAGAGCTGGTCCAGTGTTCCACGGCCAGGAAGAAAACCGCACTGCTCCTCCTGAATCCGAGGTTCGACTATCCGACGGACCCTCCTCTCCAAAACCCCAGAGTAGACCTTACCAGGGAGGCTTAAGAGCGTGATTCCCCTGTAGTTGGAACACACTATACGGTCCCCCTTTTTGAATAGGGGGACCACCACCCCGGTCTGCCAATCCAGGGGAACTTCCCCCGATGTCCACGCAATATTGCAGAGTTGCGTAAGCCAACACAACCCTATAACATCCAGAGCCTTAAGGAACTCTGGGCGAATTTCATCCACCCCCGGGGCCCTGCCACCGACAAGCTTTTTAACCGCCTCGAAGCCGTGCGGAAGTCTTTCTCCATGGCCTCTCCGAACTCCTCCCATGCCCGAGTTTTTGCCTCAGCGACCACCCGAGCCGCATGTCGCTTGGACTGCCGGTACCCATCAGCTTTTTCCGGGGTCCCATAGGCCAAAAAGGCCCGATAGAACTCCTTCTTCAGCCTGACAGCATCCCTCACCGACGGTGTCCACCATCGGGTTCGAGGGTTGCCGCCGCGACAGGCACCAACAACCTTGCGGCCGCAGCTCCGGTAAGCCGCCTCGACAATAGAGGCACGAAACATGGTCCACTCAGACTCAATGTCCCCCACCTCCCTCAGAACATGTTCAAAGTTCTCCCGGAGGTGGGAGTTAAAACTCCGTCTCACAGGAGACTCTGCCAGACGTTCCCAGCAAACCCTCACAATACGTTTGGGTCTGCTAGGTCTGACCGGCATCGTACCCCACCATCGGAGCCAACTCACCACCAGGTAGTGATCAGTGGACAGCTCCGCCCCTCTCTTCACACGAGTGTCTAAGACATGTTGCTGCAGATCAGATGAGACGATGACAAAGTCGATCATCGAACTGCGGCCTAGGGTGTCCTGGTGCCAAGAGCACATATGGACACCCTTATGCTTGAACAAGGTGTTCGTTATTGACAATCCATGACGAGCACAGAAGTCCAACAACAGAACACCACTCTGGTTCAGATCAGGGGGGGCGTTCCTCCCAACCACACCCCTCCAGGTCTCACTGCCATTGCCCACATGAGCATTGAAGTCCCCCAGCAGAACAAGGGAGTCCCCAGGAGGTGCACTTTCCAGTACCCCCTCCAAGTACTCCAGAAGGGGTGGATAATCTGAACTGCCGTTTGGTGCATAAGCACAAACGACAGTCAGAACCCGTCCCCCCACACGTAGGCAGAGGGAGGCCACCCTCTCATTCACTGGGGTGAACCCCAACACACAGGCACCAAGTTGGGGGGGCAATAAGT